GAACTGAGATCCAGGAAGCTCCAGGAGATCCTCTAAGATTGCCCTTGGCAAACAGGAAATGAGATGTATTGCCAGTCAATGAAATGAACTTGAACTTGAAGATGTCCTATTTTCAACTGCCTCCCCATTTTTTGTTTTAATTCTCTGTTGATAGCAGAGACTGCATTCCTGTGTGCTCACCTTCACACTGAAATCTTGCACAGTGCCCTTCACAGACAAGAATAAGAAATTGAGTTGCTTCCAAGAAATATTCTTCTGGCAGTACAGGCCACCTCTGACCTGGTAAATCCAGATGAGGCCCCCACAGTGGAGACCTGATGCAGCTTCTGGCAAAAACCATCCACATCAAGTGCAAGTGGAAACTGTGTAAGATTCACATGCAGAGAGACTGAATAGGTCCTGGTGATACTTGGTCACAATTGGACATGTTGCTAGTACTTCCCTGTTCACTAGATGAATAAAAATAAGTTATTCCAGAGGCCTCTGGAGGTGCCAGCTGGCCCCTGGAACTGTTCTATCTGTAAGTGTTCTGCTGGCCAAACCTAAAGGTTTCCAACTTCAGTGGTAGTAAATGAATCCTAGAAGGTGGTTGTTCATTTATCACAAGTTGCCACTTAGCATAACATGTCTCTTCACTGTTATCCCCAAAATAATTCTGTTAAAACCAGTGAGGTATTCTACTTTTTAGGTCTGCCCCATCTTATTCACAAAGACCCGAGGCTACTTGCAAAAATAACGTAGTGGTAGAGGATAAAATGAATGGCTTTGAGAAAATCAGCCAAGTGTGGAAAGGAGAGAAAAGGAGTAAGGCTAGAGGGTGAGCATAAATTGCACTGCTGTGATGTCTTAAACAAGAGAAACTTGTTTTCTTATCACCCTAGAGGCTGGAAGTCCAAGATCAAGTTTTCAACTGAATTTTTTCCTCTGAAATTTTTCTCCTCAGGTTGCAGAAGACTGCCGTCCCACCATGTCCTTATACAGCCTTACCTGTGTACACACATCCCTGATGTTTGTTCTCATGTGTCCTAATCTCTTCTTTATAAAAAAAAATTTTTTTTTTATTTATGCATACAAGAGCTGGGATGCAGGCCAGAGGTGCCTCTGGAGAGGATTCACCAGAACAGAGTGGGGAGCAGAAGAGGCAGATTTACTGAAGTACACTGCTGAGGGGAGCAGTGGTCAAGACAGGAGGGGTCTGCTGCGCTATGTTGGTCAGCTCCCTGGTCGGGGATTGAACTCATGCTGAAATGGCTGCAGATTGCTTCATAGTGCTGTGGTATAACTCAAAGCGCCACCAGGGTGGCCCCTAATCTCTTCTTCTAAGGACACCAGTCAGATTGGATTAGAAGCCTCTCTGATAGTCTCGTTTTAATTTAACCTCTTCTTGAAGGACCGTGTCTCCAAATACAGCCACATTTTGAGGCATCTGGAATTAGACATTATTTTACCCTGAATAAGATACAGGGAACAATTAGATGGCAGAATAAGATACTAGGGAACAATTAGATGGTCTTGTCATGTTCTGCCAGCATCCCTATAACTGCATAATTAACAAGTTCTCTGGATCCCATTTTTCAGGCTCCTCATTTAAACCCAAGTTTTCTTGAAATTAGTAGTCCTAAAACTTAACACATTGCTTTATACCTAAAGATGCTCAGTGACCACGAGCGGATGAAAGTTTCACTGCCCAAGGACTCGCAGCTAGAGCAGAAGCTGGAGGCACACATCCCAGATTCTGTACTGTCTCTTCCACCCACCACGATGCTCTGGGGCCTTTGAGGTCTGACTGCCAACATATCCTTTTGTTTTAATCTCTGGTTTTCCATATCAGTCACTACAAAGCCATAAAGCCAGCATTGCTAGCCCTTGGTTTTGCACAATTTCAGGGCCTCTGCGGAGACCCAGCAGGTATCAAACTATTTTAAACTCTTATGTCAAAAATCACTTTGATTTTTTTTTTCTGGATCATTTGGTATTATTTTGTTTTCCACAGACATTCCTCAGAAGTTTTAGGAGCTGAGGTGGGTTTGTTTTAAGGTCAGCGCCTGGACGCCACGACTCCAGGACAAGTTGTAATATCATTGCCCAACCTCAAGGCCTCCCCCCAGGTCTGAGACGAATAAACATGCCAGCAGTGCCAGCTCAGGCAAAGACAAAATGGGCCCCAGACTTAGAAGAGTGGGGTTTTTTTTCCACTTTTCTGACCAGCCTGCAAGCTGTTGCTCATTGAATCAGAATGAGATTGCACTTGGCAAGAAGACAAAGAGAATTTCCCCTAAAATATGCTGAGAGCTTTGCCTCCAGTCCGGACCACTTGAATCCATCCCAGGGCCCTGGGCACCTGTACGTCTGTAGCGGGACTCAGCTCCTGAGATGCCATCGGATCCCCAAGGAGAGCAGTTTCACCACTGGAGACACAGTCTCTTCTCCTAGCAACAGTCACCTCAAATGCAGCTTTTGGAAGCTGTACAATATAGCTAATTGTTTGCATTGGACAGTAGTGTGTTTAGAGCTTATATATCTAAACAGACAATTATTTTCTGCTATTTGCTGGTGGCCCTGCCTGCCGGGTGACTTTGGCAGATGGAGAAAGGAGCTAATCCGTAGGTTATAAGCAGAAGGGTTATTGATGAAATGTCACCATCTGTTGGTGTCATTAAAATGATATGAGTCATAAAGAGTTGCTTTTGTTTTTTCTCAGAAAAAGGTTAGCTTCGAGTTTAGAAAGAAGTTGTTAGATTGCAGATGGCAGTGGGGGACCAGACTGGGAGGGCATGTTGAGCCTGGAGGTGGGAGGAGCCTGCACAAACACATCACATCCGCTTTATGGATCTTCAGGAAAGTGCTGGAATCCTCTGGCTGAATAAAGTCACCTCGGTGCTAAGGACGGGGGACTTATTAGGAACATACACACCATTAGCTGTATTGTACCGCTTCCAATGTTCAACTCTCCCATCACCTCCCTTTTCTGAGGCTTCTACCAGGTAGGGAGGAGAAATTCCTTTACTTGGGTTAAACAAGAAGGATCCTGTCTGGGAGGGAACAGCTCAAATGCCTCTGTCTCCTTAGTCCTCACCAAGCCCATTACATAGATAGATTTCCACGAAGCCAGTGACTTCCCTGCCCTGTTACATCTCCCTGCAGAAGGCAGAGGTGGCTGGGGGAGGACCCGGGTTTCATCAGGGTGGGAACCCGGGGGATGAACTGAAGAAAGCAGTGGGTGGGCCCATGTGCACTGAGGAAATGTCTGCTGTTTTTGTTGACTTTCTGTATTAAATTTCTGTTTTCGATTTCATTGATTTTCTGCTCTAATTTTTATTATTTCTTTTCCCCAGCTTACTTTAAATTTAATTTGCTCTTCCTTTTCTAGTTTCCTAAGGTAGAAATGTAGATTATTGATTTTAGATCTTTTTTCTTTCCCACAAACTGCACAGCAAAGAGACGGAGGTCGTGAGAAGTGTATTTAATGAGGATCCAGACGACCAAAATAAACTACGCCAACTTCCTAATTCAGCCTTATTACCTAATCCTCTTAATTCCCTCATATTTTCTGTTTATAAACTCTTTTATTCATTGCCAAGAATATACATCCAAAGAGAAAGAACCTGTTATTACCAACCTTTTTCAGAATGGCTTAAGCTTCCTTTATTTTTACTGTTATTATTTCTCAATAATAATTTTTAATTTTAATCCCCTGGGGGAACATGTGGGTGTTTGTGTAAACCACTACACATCCTTCTGGCAGTATTAGGGCCTAAATGATAAATAAGCACAGCACTGCTCTGAGACGTGCCTCACGCCCAGTTGTGCCTCTACTGGTGTTCTTTGCCCCCACACCGCCTGACCCGAGTCTGCCCACCAGCACCTCCTTACAAGCGGGGTGCTGGAGGGAGTTAGGGCAGCTGCCTGAAATAGTGTACATTGCTGGAAGCCAGAGCTACTACGCAGGGAAGGCGCTTTATGAAGCCAGTGTGGGTTATTTATAATGGTCTCAAAAGGAAGCTTCTGTGGAAAAGTTCCTGTTGGTATTTTTAGATCTGATGCCTGGTCCTGCTGCTGCACTTTCGTTTTTAAACAAGCAGGGAAGGGAGTGATTGATGCTGTCTGCAGTGTTGCTTTGGAGGCTTGGAGGGCCCATCTGACAGGCTAATGGTCATCCTGCCAGGCCCAGATCTGCCTTTTGTCTCTTCTCACTCCAGGACTTCAGAAGCTGCTGACTTTGGTGGGTAGTGAATAAAGTGCTGGCCTATTGCTGCCAGGTCAAACTCTGATGTGTTCCCCCAGGCTCTGTGACCCTGTGCTGTGGGCACCCTGGAGTTCAGTGTCCTGCTCTACTTTTGGCCCGTTTCCCTGAGAAGAGGGCATATGTGTGCATAATAAGCCTTTGGCTGGAAGTAAAATACGTTAGCATGTAATCAGGTGATTAAGCAGGTTTAAAAAGTCCCAACCACACAATAATCCATGGGCATCACTCTTCCAGGACTGGTGGAAAGGAATCAAGTATGGTTACTGAATTGTTCCTGTGGCTACTTTATTTGCCCACTCAAAATCAGTAATGTTAAAAAAAAAACAAAACTTTCTTTAATGAAAAATTTCTCCCAACAATTCTGAATCCTGTGGTTTTGTCCTCAAGGGGAAGGGATGGAGAGGAGGTGAGTGTTGGCAACTTTCACTCGGCAGATATGGGTGGTTACCTATACAAGTTCATGAACCCCAGCTATAGTCCTGTCTACATGGATGATAGCTTGCTTACGTGAGAAACTGTAGTATTTGGAGAGGAAAAAAAAAAGTGGTTCAATTCTGTTCCTGGGATTCAGACTGTGACAGGAGGGGTTCTCGAACAAACTTGTAAAGTACACCTGAAGGATGTAAAAAACCCATGCATGAGGACCCGAGAACACTCCTGCTGAGACCTGGAGCTTCCCTCCCCGGCTCTGTGGCCTGTGGACAGTGTCTGCTTCCTTGCTTGTTTATTTTCTCTCTTGCTCTTTCTACAATAGACCACAGAGGCAGGGGAAGAGGAAGAGGACCAACCTCTGAGCCTGGCCTGGCCTTCCAACACCCGCAAGCAAATCACATTCCTGATTGTGCTCCCCATAGTGTTCCCTCTCTGGGTCACCTTACCCGATGTCCGCAAACCTGTGAGTGAAGCATTTTTTAAATGGGTTCCTTATAAAACGTACAGTACAGTGGACCCTTAATGAGCCTGGTTGGAACTGAGTGAGTCCACATCTGTGCCGAATTGCTTGTAAGCAGGTGAAAAGACCTTATGGAATCGTTCAGTGCAGCACTGTTCTTAATAAGATGTTTCCCTTGCTAGCTTATGTTATCGTAACAATACAGCATATAATATATAAACCATGCAAATTATTGTAAATTGACTGCATATGTAATCAATGAGGTCAATGGCAGACTATTTTTAGCCAAGTTCAGGAAAGGTGACAGTTACACATGAATTTTTGTCTGTGTGTAGAAGGTAAATGAATGTTCCAATCTCCTCTGTATTCAAGGGTTCGCTGTATTGAACTGTACACAGTTTGTCTTCTATTTGTCTTAAAAAAAAAAAGAATGGCACACAGAGGGCTGGAGTTTCTCTGGTCCGATATGTAATATGTAATAGTGATTGTTCTGGCTATCAACCTGGGGAACAAACTACCTTGAAATCTTAGTAGTGTGAAACAGTAAGCATTTTACCATGCTCACAGGTCATGTGGATGAGAAATTTGATTGTCTACACTTTGCTTGCCAATGTCTAGGTCCTCCCTTGGGGAAACATGACTGAAGTCACTGAAATGAGTGGGAACACAATCATCTGGAGGCTTCTTTTCTCTTTTTGATTAATTTATTTACTTTCTTGCATCATTGTTCATTTTTGTATGATATGTTATTTCTCCCCCCAGGTGTAGGCCCTTAGTTCTCCCTCCACCATAGCACCCATGACCGTCACCATAGTCCCTTTGACAGGTAGAATATAGAGAAATGGATCAAGGGTCAAGAGAAAGGCAAAACTTGCAAGCTGACCATAGATCTGAGGCATCCAGCAACAGAGGGTGAGGGAGAGGGGGGTCAATCAAAGGAGGGGAGAGCTCATCTAGGGGCTCCTTCATTGATGTTTCCAGGATGTGGCAGAGATAATACAAAGCTGGGTTCAGCTGGGATTCTCTACTGATGATCCTTACAGTGACCTTCAACATGAGTTGGGCTTCCTCTTGGCATGGGGGCCTGGGAAGAGTCATGTCTTATGAGGCCAGGACTTCAGTGACACAAGACAGAGCTGCATTTGATGACCTGGACTCCAAAGTCACAGGCAGTCACCTCCACTACAAAAGCAATCATATGTTTGTCTTGAGTAAGGGGAGGAAGCAAAAGTTTCCTGAAAATATATCAGTGTCACCTAGCATAGGATACTCTTGATGGGAGGAATGTCTATGAATTTGCAAACATGTTCAAAATTTTCACTGTAGTTTTTCCAGAAAGAGAACCAAAGGTCTGAGGTAAGAGGGAGACTCACATTTTATTGAATATTTGAATATATGGATTATTCCTTTAATTCAAGAATAATTTAAAGAAATACATTCATGTAGTATTAATGTCTACATTAATACCTCCTGTGATATTATTAATAATTGTAATTATTATACCTCCTGTAGTATTAATAATCAATATTATCTACCTTTGTCATATATTGGGTGCTATGAACACATTATCATTTATGATCAATAAGGTATAACCTGAATGTAGATTATAGCAAAAAATGTCCCTCCCAGTGTTCTTAAACTAGGTTCCTGGGCCATTGCCCCAGGGTGCAAGAAAACTACTTTTTTATAACCCAGTACACACCTCCTCATGCAACAAAGTGTGCCTAATATGTATCAGACTTCCCTAGGTAATTTTAATAAGGCAGACTATGGAATCTCAGGAACCATCTCAGGGAGGGATATACCTTCCTGAGCTGGACATAGGGCAATATACACGTATGGATATGTATAACCAGCATGTGTGAAAAAGAAACCGAGGCACAGACAAGTTAACTTACTCACGCCTGCTCACTTGCTGGGGCCTAGAGCTGAATTCACACCCAGGACTGAGACCCCATAGGTTTGGCAGCATCTCCTGTTTTTTGGAGCCAGAAGGTAGAAATCTGAAAACACCCTGTCTAAAAGCCTTTGAAATCCAATACTGTAGTAAGATCCTGCATAATTTAGGAGAAGTCTTCAAGAGCTCCTGATGATCACATTTTCTGCACTTGAAAAAGATAAAGGCAACATTCTGCCCCTTTAGCTTGACCTATCAACAACCTAGCTTGGTGGCGAGCCACGTCATGTCAAGTGCCGTCAGGAAACGATCCTCGCAGAACAAAACTGACTTGAGACTTTTCCTAGTAAAAGCTGCATATAGCAGGTGTGGCTCATGTAGAGCAATATTTAGATTCCTTCATTCAAGATGCAAATGTAGAGCATCTGCTTTCCGCAAAGGCCTGCCTTCCTGAAACTTCAGCCAAAGAGCTGGAATGTGTTCAGTTTTCCTCTTGGCTCACATCACATTGACATTTCTGAGGCACAAGTGCTTGAAGGCACCACCTCCCCTTTCCTCTCTCTCTCCCTTTGCTTCCCCTTCCCTTCCTCACCCCATTGTTCTTTTGTTTAGCTCAGTGCTTCAGCTCTCTGGGAAGGGGGGGGGACAGGGGCTGGGGCAGCGAGGGGAGAAGCAAACTCCTGGAGACCAACTTGCTTTCTACATCTGTGGCCCAAACTGGAGGGAACCAACTGATAAGAAGGTGTCACAAGACCACTGAGACCATCAGGAAAATGGGCAAGTGTTGGAGGAAGTGCCAGTGACTCCTGTGCCCTCTGCTTGGGTGGGACTCACGAGACAGGCCGGCCCTGGGCTTGTCCTCTCTGTGGTCAGTGCTGACAAGTCAAAGAAGCTGTCAGAGAAGATGGAAGTTCCCAACCAGCAACTCCTGGACTACAAACAGGGCTCCACTATGGGAGTAGTTCCCTGGGCCACAGCAACTTCTTAGGCTGCTGCTGAACCCTCCTGTGTGGCATAAGGCCTGGGACACCTCTAGATTCCCTGCCACCCATGCCGTCCAGTGATGAAGGGCAGTACAATGAAATAAACATCGAGAAGGCGTTGCAATTTCAAGTGACCATAAATCTCAGTCAGCCCAGGATTATTATTGGTGCATTTTATAGTCAACGTTGCATATATGAAGCGGCAGATGAAAGCAAACATCAACTGATGCAAAAGCCAGAAAGTGGTTCCTTGATGGTGCTTAACACAGAAGAGTTTCTTTAGGTTTGTTTCGACCTGGTGTCAGGTATCTCTGGCTGTGTAATATACCGCTTCAAAATTTAGTGGCTGACAACAACACCACATTTTTTTTAAGCCCATAGTTCTATGAATTGGCCCTCGGGCTGGGCTCAGCTGGACAGTTCTGTACTTAGAAGGCTGGGGGCTGGCTGGCGTCGGGCTTTTAGAGCTGGAACTGCTCATCTCTGCTTCGCATGCCTCTTATCCCGACATAGACTAGCCTGAGCTTATTCACATGATGGCCAGGTTCCAAGAACAGCAAAAATGAAAGCCGCAAAGCCCTCTGGAGAGCTGGCTAAGAGTCTGCCCGTGACATTTCCGCTGCATTCTCTTGGTCAAAGCAAGTCACACCACCGGCCTGGGTTCTCAGGGTAGGGGAGAATTCTGATGGGAGGAAATGCAAAATGATGTGGCCATTTCTGCAGTCTAGCACAGTCTTCATGCACTGTCACATTGAAAAAATATGCAGAGGACAGAAAGAGTAGAAAATTATTACATAATTAATATTTGCTTCTGCTTGGGGCAACTCTGCCTCCTCAGTAGTTTTTGAATGCCCATGGGGATGAACATCTGAAACCTTGACAATAGTTGCAAGAAAAACATCACTTTTTTAAAATGTATGCATGTAGTTTCAGAGTAAATAATACTCTCACTTGCTATTTTCACTTCATTTATATGCAAATTGTATGACAGTGTTTGCTGGATTATGTATATGTCCAACTCAGATAATTAACATGAGCTTCACTTTTATAGTTTTCTTTAATGAATGGCTTTGTTTTAGAAGTAAAACAGCCAAGTCAGAAACCTTAACAAGAATGTCTTTGCTAAAAATTGAAAATAATAAGGAAATAAAGGCCCAAAAATTTATAATCTCTGTGGCCAAGGATGTATCTAATGAAATAGCACAACAGGTCACATTCCAGCTAAGAAAATACCTAAGAACCTTGCTACATTTTGCAGTTTATGTTAATAAATAAATCAAGTTAATAAATCAATTGTGTTTGTGTGCCAAGCACCGTTTTCAAAGAACAAAGTGACTGAGACCAGAAAGGTTTAGTAACTCGTCCAAGCACACCAGCTAGCAAAGAGCAAAATCAAGACTCTCATCTACATCCCCATAGCCATTTCCACCTCCCTGAGCCTGAGTGCCCTCTTCTCTTAAAAATCAAAATATGCATAGGACCATGTAATAGTCACTGCTGTTACTACCTAGCACTTGGCAAGATGCTTTATGCACATGAAAGCTCAAGTCAACTTGATGTTGTTATTTTCCCCATTTTACAAATGAAGAATCCAAGACTCGGCAAGATTAAACCATTTGGTTCAGGACACATCATTAGTAATTGGTGAAAGGGGATTGCAAGTCCCATTCCTGAGACCGCCCTTCTGGTTGGATTGTTTGAAGGACTTCTGTTAATATGCATGCCTCAGAGTATTGCACAGAGTAGATGCCAGTGAATATTGGTTGAATTTAGGTCACTAAGGATGTGGTCCATTTGAACAATCTGCTAATGTCCGGGAACTTTTTTCAGGCCAAGAAAATAGCATTTTGATGTACTGAAAACTTCTAATGAGAACATTAGCTGGCAATTATACAAGTAAGCCATTACATTTTGAGCAAAATGGCGGGCACATTGACACAATTTGCTTCTTGCTAATTAGTATGAGGCCCATCCCAGCAGATCTCAGGAGGAGCCACCATTACTGCCCATAAATTGACATGTCAGACCTTGGCTCCGGGGCTATTTTCATCCTTCCACTGCAACTGGTAACTAAGTAATTGCACACTTGCTACTGAGCAGTGATGTCTGGAATGAGACAATCATCCAAAGTAGGGGAATAGTCCAGAATAAAGGAAAAAAAGAAGGAATTACCTGGAAGATTGAAAATGGTAGGTAATTTGATAGTTGGGAAACACTTAACGGAACTGCTTGTGCATGAACGCTTGATTTTTCCAAAGCAGAAACAATATGGGAGACAGAGTAAGGCAGATGGCCCTGCAGCTGGCCTGCTAGTCTACCCTTCCCTGGTCCTCTGTATATTTTCTGACATTCCAAGCAAACCTTTGTATTATCATAATCATCGTTATGTCCACAGTCATTTATATTTTATGTGCCCTCTTTCTCCTTAGGGAAGAGTCAGTATAATGTAGATGTTAGAGACACATGCTGTAGAATCAGGCAGAGCTAGGTTTGAAGTTCAAGATCTGGGTACACTAGAACTGGTCAGCTTTTACCTGCCCCTAGTGATGAAAACCTAAAACTCACAAAGGAAATCATTTTTCATCTTGTCTTTAATTAGCCCCTGATACAATATTAGGTACATTTAGATTTTCATTAAAATCATGAGCATCAAAATTTTGAATTAGCTTTTTGTGAATAAGTTGATTTGAACCTATTTCCTTTCAATCCTTTGTCGACTTCCTTACTTTCTAACTGGGGCTGGGACTGTTCTATAGTTCAATGATGATATTTTTCAGAGGAGAAATTTGTTCAAATGATTTGATTCTGACTTGATTTCATATTCATAAGTAGACAAGCAAAGGTATAAAAGCATGAAACAGTAATTACATATTTAGTAAATGAGCCAACCCAGAAAGTGAGGAAACTGTGAAACAACAACTCCCCGAGAATATCCAGTACACACATCATACCATAAAGGGGCCCCATTCCCTTCAAGGGAGGTTCGAAATCAAGCTAACAGGCTGCTTGCTGCTCAAATCATGTCGGGCCCCAGACGACAAGAAGGGACTTTCTCTTCCCTGGGATAGAGTATGGCCAGCAGAGATGGAAGCCTCCTTGGACTTTAGGGTCCTAACAAATGGCTTGGGCCAGAGATAAAGGATGGGGACTCCGACCAGCTATCTGCTTGGCCTAGTGAAATTTGATTTCTTAACACCAGCCCTCCAAGGACCAAGAAAACTAGTCTCCAAAAGCCATCCAAATTCCCAATGTTAAAGAAATTTGCATTCACAAAATAGAGATTTCTTAAAATGATAAAAATAGCCATGCATGTGATCCTGCAGTTCCACTCCTAGGTATCTACCTGAAGAAGGCAAAAGCACTAGCTGAAGAGGATATAGGCACTGCTGTGTTCATTGAAGCGCAGTTTATTTTAATAACCTAGTTAGGGAAACAGCCTAAGTACCTAAGGCCAGATGCATCGATTAGAAAGTTGTGGTCTATGTACACAATGGAATATTATTCAGCTATTAAAAAAAAAGATGAATTCTCGCCATTTGCAACATGGATGGAACTGGAGGCAATTATGCTAAGTAACTAGGACAAAATGAGGCAGACAAATACCAGATGGTTTCACTCATATATGGAATATAAAGAAACAAAACAAAGGAACCGACGAAACTAAACCAAAACAAACCTAGAGATCTGACTAACCCTAGAAATGAGGCGACCAGCAGAGTAGGGAGTGGAGCAAAGCAGGGGGGTGTGGTTGGGGGGGCACCCAGTTATCTGTGGTGGAGGGTTATGTTGCCTTGGTAGTGGGTGTGGTGTGATGACCTACTTCTAAAGAGGTATGAACCAATACCTCAGTAGAAAAGTGAGACAATGAAAAACCAAGGAGGATAGGGAAGAAAGGAGTGGTTAGTGGGAGGGAGGGGAAATTTGCTTTCAGGAGTATAGTAATTTCTACTTTGAAAAGTGATTTTTTCTTTCCCCCTGCAGCCCATTCATGTATTTAGAGCCCCAGAAATGGTCTGAAATTTTGGTCAAAATATGTTCCTTCTAAGGAAAGAGATGCGGGGAAACTAAGAACAAAATTGTGGCTACTGACCGTAGCTCCTGCCTCCTGCAATTTCACCAAGCCCAGACGCCTTCCAGACACCTAGCTAATGAATGGCTCCAGCAAAGCCACAACCATTGAAAAAGAGAAATTGTTATTGTGACATTTAGCAGAACCATGTGAATAATATAAACAAAAATTGAAAATTTGAATTAGGAAGCTAATAGGCCTGGTGTGGAGTGATAGAAGCTGCTTCATTATAGATATTCAAAAGATTTTCATGTACAAGTTTATCTTTTCCTTTTAATGAAGTGCTCAAAAGCCATGACAAAAAGTGTTCTATGTGACTGCCCAAGGTCAGCCCTTCAGATGACTGAGATAGTTTTCTTTCAAGTCCACTCTCCGATTCATTTCTCTGGACAAAATTGGTTGGCGTTATCAAAGCAAAAAATGAGATTGCTTCTCAAAATGGAAAGTTTTGAAACAAAGTGTTTGGCAGTAATAGGTGAGAGGATCTCTGGGAGCATTCTGCTATCAGAGCATGTTTTAAACAACCCCTGATTTTGCTACATTGGTCATCAACCGAAGGTCACTGCTGCACAAGTTTGGGTTTCCCTGCAGAGTGAAAAACTGCATATTGAGTATCTGATTTTGTCTGACGTTTGAATGAAACTTCAAAAATGCTCAAAAGTTCAGTGCTAGAAGCGGAACTGGACATAATATACTTACAGGTGCAGAACAGGAGAAAACATCCCCAATAGCATCTACTCTGATGCCACAGTGGAGAGCCATATGCTGTCTACATATGTGGTTCAAATGTCCACACTGGCCGTCAATCAAAATCCTTAGAAACTATGGTAACAATTGTCCCTGTGTTACTTTTCCTGAAAGCTCATGAAACTGTACAGTGTGCCAATCTAATTTTAGAGCTATGGATGCTTCCTACTTCTTGTTAAATCTAACTAGTCCCATAGGTTTTCTGGCATATGGGTTATTAGGATAGATGGTTTGAAGGGATAGAAATTGATTCTGATGAACTTGGACAGAAGAAAAAGCAAAGGAGCAGAAGGAGGGAAGATCAGGAGGAGTTGGTAGATTGAAGAGTATAGAAGCAGAGGTCGCTTACAGGTATCCAGCAGGACTGACTTTCTGTTTAAGAGATTTCCATCTCAGGAACTGGATTTGCCATGATTTGGTTCTCACCGATTTGATATCCCAATTTTACTGCACCCACATGACTGGGGTGGGAAGGGTATTTTGATTGCTACCAATCCCGGCTTTGTTCATAATTTGCTAAGGCTGAAGGCAGGGGTGGGGAGGGAAGGTAGCTTCCTTGGGGGTGTTAGCCCTTGACTGTTGACTCCACCTTCAGTTACTATCACTGACACTCTCGCCTCTTCCTGGTTCTCTTCCAGTCAGCAAGGAAGTTTTTTCCCATCTCGTTCTTTGGCTCCATCACCTGGATTGCTGGGTTCTCTTACTTGATGGTCTGGTGGGCACATCAGGTAAGAATTTGATAATGACACCATCTGCCTGGTTTCATCTTGCCTGCCCACTGTTAAGCAATGCACGCCTTTCTCAAACTGTCACAACAGTTTGTGTTGACACCAGGACAAACAGGAATTTACTCCAATTAACTTCTTTGTTAAAGGAAGAAGTTAAATAAGCATAGCCCAAACTCCTTTGTTGAGGAGGGCAAGCCTAAATGTTTCTTGCCCTCTGAAGCTTGAAACCAGACCAACCCAGACTGGGTAGAAGACGAAGATTTTGTATGGTTCGTGGCCCCAATTCCTCCTTTACAGCCACTAAAGCATACTCTCACCAACCTTTCAAATAGGCTTTTTTAAAAAAGACCTAGAAACAAAATGATCTTTTCAATGAGCTTCAATTTATAAAAAATATTTCACATTTACCACACTAATTCAATACCAGTCATAATGCCCATCACAAGAATAAACTCAGAAGTTGTTTGTTGTAAAACATGAAAGAATGAGAAGCAAGGGCTTTTACATTTTTTAAGATAATAGCAGTAACTTCTTCTAATGGCAGTGACGTTGGTTTCCACCACATATATAATTCAGGGTGTAGGGTCTCCCTCTTCAGACACTGTTCCCACACCACAGCCTCCATCACAGCTCTCATTTTGCTGAACATGTCCTGCACGCAAGGCAGCTTACATTGCTATGTCCTTATAATCTTGACCCTGTAAACAGGTGTGGATCCAATGAGAGAGATGCTGTAATTATTCACAGTTTACAGCTTAGTGTTAATAAGAAAATCACCCAATATCATATAGATAATAGATAACAAAACAGACTCTGCAACTCTAAAATTCATGTTTTTGATCTCTACTTCTTAAATTCAAACCGCCCATTATATCCTGTGATTAATAGTCTTTAAAATATTATAAATGTAAGTAAAATATAGCAATTTGAAATAAAGACGTAGATATGTGGGTAGACTTGTTCTCAACAAATGGTGCTAGAATAATTGGATTTGCATATGCTAAATAAAACCTGAGTCTTCACCTGATACCATACTCAAAAGCTAACTAAATGGATCATACATAGTTCTAAATGTCAGTGCTAAAACTATCAAATGTCTAGAATAAAATATAGAAAAACTACCTCACAGTGGGTTAGGCAAAGAGTTATACAATATAGATGCCAAAGCATGGTTCATAAAAGAAAATGAATTATTAATTGGACTTCATTAAAATTAAAGTGTCCGCTCTTCAAAAATCAACATGAAAATATGAAAATGTAAACCACAGACAGGGAGAAGACATTTTCAAATCGTATACTCTGATAAAGTGCTTGTACCTGAGATATATAAAAAACGCAGTAATAGGAAGAAAGCATCTATAAATATCTATTTAAAATGGACAAAAGATTTGAAAAGATGTCACCAAACAAGGTGATACAAATGGCTAATAAGCACAGGAAATGATATTGAACATCACTACCATTAGAGAAATATAAATCAAAACCATCATGAGATATCACTTCACACTCACTAGGATGCCTTTAACTTAAAAGATTAATAATGATAATAACAGGCATCAAGAAGGATTGTAGCAATCTAAGAGATTAATAATAACAAGCAAGGGTGTGTAGAAATTGAACCCTCATATATTACTGGTAAGTATGTAAAATAATGCAGTCACTTTGGAAAACAGTCTGGTGGTTCCACAGAATGTTAAACATAAAGTTACCATATGATCCAACAGTTCCACTCTAAGATGTATACTATATTAAGAGAAGTGAAACAAAAATGTGTACACAGGTGTTCAAGTAGCATTATTCATAATTGCTCAAAAGTGGAAATAACTCAAATGTCCATCAACAGTTGATGGAATATTACTCCCCAGTAGAAAGGAATGAAGGACTGATACACACCATGATGTGACTGAACCTCTAAAATATTAGGCCAAGTGAAAAAACCCAGATCACATGTCATACGATTCCATCCATGTGAAATATGAAAGCAGGCAGATCTGTGGAGACGAATGTAGATGAATGATTGCCTGGGGTCGGTTTGGGGAGGTTGGAGGAAATAGGTATCTGCTAAATGACTGAACTTTCTTCTTTGGATGATGAAAATGTTTTAAACAAAATGATGACTGGTTGCACAACTCTATAAATGAATTTTCGTTTGTATAATATATTATCTGTATATCACAACTATTAAGATGGTTATATTCAAAGAAACAGAAAATAGCACGTGTTGATCTTGATATGGAGAAACAGGACTGCATACATTTGTCAAAACTTGTAAGATTGTACACCATTTTCAAGGATGTACTAAATGTAAAATATTCTGTATGTCAATTATACCTTATTTTTTAAATGTTTAGTTTTACCTAAATTTTTTAAATTGATACTTCCATGCACACATACACACACAAGTAGAAAATGAGAGCACTAACAAAAGCCACTAGAAATGTTAGCAGAACCATCCCAGAATTATTACTCTAAAACATTTTTTATTATTTCTATCATCTTTGACTCCAGATGACTCTTCCTAGAAATTTTCAAAATGACTGGCCCCCCTGAAGAAGTTCTGTTTGCTTCAAAGTCATTACAAGGGCTTGAACTGAACAGGTCCCATCCTGCAAGGAATCAGCACCTCTAACCCCCAATTTGTTCAAGGGTCAACTGTATTTTCTATATTCATTAAGAAACATTGCTACCCATATCTGGCAGGAAACACTGCAGAAAATGGGCTGCTTTTCAGCTACCAAATCTGAAAGCTGAAAGGACTCTTTTTTTAACATACAATGACTTTTCCTAATAAATCATTATAATTCCTTCATGTACTAATAGAGGAGGGGAAAGGTGGTGATGTTTATACACTTGCTGAAATATGTTGATGCCAAAATATTCTCTTTAGCCATCCTAGAAAACATTATCCTACAGATTTCCATCTTATTCTTTTCTTTTTATTAGTTACCCTTAATTCCCCAATCTTATTTCTTTTTCATTGTCTTGTGGAAAAGAATATGAATGCAGTGCTTGAAACAATAATCATTACCAAAAGGCCCAGGAATATAAAGTGTCTAAAAAGAAGCCATAATTTTCAATAATGGATGAGAAGTTTCCTCTCTATTCTCTCATAGGAATGCTTTCCCCTTTCAAAACATACAGAGAGCTGATCAAAATAGCAGATCTGAAAACAAAAAAGCAAAATAGCAGATTCTCTTTTCAGAAGTCTGAATCTAAGTCTATTTACATTTTTAACTCTAAAGTCTATAAAGAGAGCAAGTATATTGTTTAGTGCACAACTATTTTGTTCCACATTATCAACAATAAATGCTATTTGATGCAATTATTTGGCAACTATTTGGCCAAAAATAAATGCCTTTCACATTAAATGTTTTGTGCATATTTTCCTTAGTTTTTATACTTTTTTATTATTTTTGCATCATGAATGATCATCTTAAAACTTTCATGAGTGGTGAAAATCTGACTAAAATCTACATTACAACTAGAATGAGAAGTTACTTCTTAGAGTCAAATATGACCTTGTATCTCATTTAGCCAAAATGACATTTTGCCAAGTCTCCTTAACCTAGGCCAAGCATTATCACTTATTTTGCTTAGTATAATCACCTCAAAGTTCATTTACGTTTAGCACAATCCACTCAAGGTCCATCTATGTTGTTGCAAATGCCAAGATTTCATCTTTTTATAGCTGAGTAGTATTCCATTATGCATACATACTGCCTCTTCTTTATCCATTAATTCCTGGAGTTTATTTCTGATTGGAAACAGTTAATCTTTGATCCATGAAGATAGATAAGCTAGTTCAGCTCAGGCTGCAGTGCTGGCATGACCATCAAAATAAAAAATAGCTCCCAAACTATGCTTTTAAGTTAAAGGGAACCAAGCTATTACTTTTACATCAAAAAATTAGAAATGAGTATATTCCAACCCCTAAAAATCTCTACCTTTACATGCTACTTTGGTTCTTTAAATATTTTCCAAAGGTGCTAGATATCATCAGATAAGCTATTTGAAAACAATATCTTAAAGGTTTTTAGAACTACAGTTTACCAACTCCAGAAAATACATAAAACTTTTTAAAATCTTCAGAAGACAAATATATTCTCAAGAGAATGGAGGAGATTCCATCTAGGGCAATAACCACTATCCATAATAGAATTCAACAGTCTTAAAAAGCAAAGACCAAAAGAAAATCTAATAACCATCCCCCCTCATTTTTCAATAATATTGTATTATTTACAAAGGGCTTTTCCACAAATTATCATTTAGTCCTCACAACCACATTGTAAGGTAGGCATTATTACCCCAACTTTAAAGATTAAAAAAATAACTGTCCACAATTGCCAAGTCAAGAAACCCACCTAAGTGGCTTTCAGCACATGATTGGATAAAGAAAATATGGCCTAGATAGTCGGTGGAATACTACCACCGTGAAAAAGATGAAAGGGTGTCTTTTGGGATAAAGTAGATGGACCTCAAGAGATTATGTTAAGTGCAATAAGTCACAAAGTTAAAAGATAGATATCAGATGTTTTACCCACCTGTAAAATATAAATAATCAAAATACATAAACAAGCAAAATACAGTAGTAATAAATTTTTAATTCAGTGAAAGAATTTAATGGTTACCAGAAGGAAAAGGGGGAAGGAGACAGTATTGGCACAGGTGATTCAGTGGTAGATGAGTGGAATATGCATATGTGGGTCACCTCCCTTGCTGGGGATCAAACAGGAATAACTTTTAAAAATATAGGGAAGCAAAGATTAACAACACTATATGGTTGATCAGTACTCGGCCCTCCTTGGTGGTGCAAGGGGTTAAAGCATAGCACTATGAAGCTATCCGTAGCCACTGCAGCAATTTGATCCCCAGTGAGGGAGGTGACCCACATGGTGTGGCACACCTCCCCTGTCTTGCCAGCTGCTCCCCTCAGCATTGTGTTTCAGTAAATCTGCCTTTTCTGTTCCCTGCTTTGTCTCTAGTGAATCCTCTCATTCCCTGCACCTCTGCCTGTACGTACCCCAGTTCTTATAAGTAAATCTGGCCTTCCCTGGTGGTGCAGTAGGTTAAAGCACAGCACTTCGAAACTTGCTGCAGCTGCTTCAGCACAAGTTCGATCCCCCGCCAGGGGGATGACCCACATTGCGTGGCAGACCTCCCCTGTCTTGCCCACTGCTCCCTTCAGCAGTGTACTTCATCCATCTGCCTGTTCTGCTCCCTGCTCTGTCTCTGGTGAATCCTCTACTGCCCCAGCACCTCTAGCTTGTACTCCAGGCATAAATATATAAATCTTTAAAAATAAAAAATAATTGACCAGTACTTTATACATGCCAAAGTCAGAAGGTAGACCAAGATACCCTTATCCCATATTGTTCTCACCACAACTGCCTTGCCAAATTATAATTCTGTATTACCAAAAACCCAAAATCAGTTTTCCAATAGAAATAATAATATCTTAGAGTGTCTATGTGTACAAGGATACAGATATTAGGATACATTAAGATAAATAGAGTCACTGGGTATCATTCCTTAACTTTTGATGATAAATCCAAGGGCAAATCTGCCCTAGAGTTTGGTGCTATCATCAGGTACTGGGCCATGGAACCAGTGATCAGTTGGCTTTTATAATGCTGATCAAATTTCTCTTTCCAGTCTTTTTTATTTTAAGATTTATTTATGTATGCATACAGAACTGGGGTACAGGTCACAGGCACAGGGACAGTGAGAAGATTCATCAGAGACAGTGGGAAGCAGAACAGGTGGACTGATGAAGTACACTGCTGAGGGGAGCAGCGGGTATGTCAGGAGAGTTCTGCCGTGTCATGTAGATCACCTCCCTGGCTGGAGATCAAATTCATGCTGAAGTGGCTTTAGCTTCATAGTGCTGCACATTAACCCGCTGCACCACCAGGGAGGACCCTCTCTGTCTTAATAAACACCATGTAGAGACTTCACTCTAGCCTTTTGAGAGTATCTGTTTAATCCTCATGTCAATATTCCTGACCTCTTGAGTCTAAATAAGATTAAAATATAACCTCCTTTATGATAATGCTACTGGCTTATTTCTGTATCATTTCAACACTCAACATAGCACAGAAAAGGAATTCATTAAATAGGGGTTGCATTGAAATATTTGCAATTTTGATAGATTCTTGACTTCAAACACACCTCTATTTATCCCTCTCATCACTTTTAGGTTGGAGAGACAATTGGCATTAGTGAAGAGATTATGGGTCTGACCATCTTGGCTGCTGGAACCTCTATCCCTGATCTCATCACAAGTGTCATAGTGGCCCGAAAGGGGCTTGGGGACATGGCTGTGTCCAGCTCTGTTGGAAGCAACATTTTTGACATCACCATAGGGTGAGTAGAGGAAGATCTATGGAGCTTCAGCTCTCTGTTGTCTTTGTCTTCTGAGAGACTGCAAAGATATAACCAGGGTCTCTGAGCCCCAAACTAATCAGCATCAATAGCAAAAGCCTGAGAACACCATTGTTTCATCAACTCCATCTTTCATTTTCAGAGAATTTGATGAATAAGTTATTCCTTGACAGGTGGAAACACATACTAACACAGAGTGAATGTTGTCTGAAGTACTTTTAAAATGAAGAATTTTACTTACATAATGTCATTGGCTACAAGTTAATGAATATTCAGTATTCAGGCATGACTAAGATGCTAATTAAGATGCTCACTGTATATTTTTCCATATTATTTCTGATCAAAGTCCCCAACCAGGTGATATTTGGACTGAAAGCAATTTGGAACATAGGCCAAGCAAAAATATTCCATCTCCTTCTTTGGAAAGTGCTGGCTTGGCATGATCATTGGTTTTTTAAACCAGTGAAGATATATTAGATTTTTTGAAAGTCAGAAAAGATCTGTTCTTATAGTTAAGCAAACTGGGGTTCTATAATAAATCATCTCCAAAGTGAATCATATTGCGGCAGGATGCTATTACCTCCACTGTTTCATGTAACTGTCAAAAGTTGAAGTCACCTGATAAATTATCCTGAATGACAGCCCCCTGGAAAATAAAACTTGGGATGTTATCCTTATATCTCCAAAAGAACAGAGCTCTTGGCACTTGAGATTTAGAATTTTGGAGACCCACTAAAATGGATCTACTTTCTCACTGAACATCTTGAATATTATTTCCTCTTACATCTCTTCATTACCTAATGCATATGATAATATTTATATTTTTTCATTCAGTGTCTATCTGGCACTATACATTTTTAGTCACTTCAGCCACAGTGATCCTATGAACCATGATTATCAGGTAAGGGTCATAGGGCTGGGAAATAAGCTGGCTGGGATTTGAATAGACTCTTTGCTCTCAACTGCACCAATATCGATACATAAAACCTTACTCTGTGTTTCCACTGTGTAAACCACTTTTGATTCCAAAGGTGTCCTCTCCTACCATACTTCCTACCTCTCCAGGGCCCCTCTCTTTGCTTGTCTGCCTGGAAAACACTGTTTATCCTTCCATTGACAACTCAGATCTGGGTTTCTCTGATTCCTGGGGGCATGAACTGGAGGTTCTTGTTCCTGTCTACTGTGCTCTCCCTATTCTTGTCATGGTCAAGTGCTCGTCTACCTAATAGATTGTGAGCTCCCCAGGAGCAAAAACTCCCCAAACTTAATATATTGCCTGATGCATGGTTGTGCTTGACAAATATTTGTAGGATGGATGAGTGAATGAATGAATGAAAGCCTTAAAAGGTTTATGTTTTACATTAACTCAAAAGGACACCTGCACCCCCATGTTTATTGCTGCTCTATTTACAATACAGAAGATGCAGAACCCACCAAAATTCCCAAAAATAGAAGATCGGATTTAAAAAATGTTGTACATATACACAATGGAATATTGCTCAGCAATCAAAAAAGATAAACTTATGCATTTTGCAGCAACATGGATAGAGCTGGAAGGAATCATGCATTAGTGAAATAAGCCAGAAAGAAAAAGAAAAATACTGGATGGTTTCACTCATAGGAGGAGCATAAGAATCAGGAGGAGGGAGGGAAGCAATTAGAATTTAAAAAAAGAAAGAAAAATAATGAATAACTATAAACAAAAGACATTTTACAGAAGTAGAGAGGAAAATAGGATCAAAACTGGAGTGGGGTGGGAAGAGTGCATGGGACTATGGTGATGGCACATGGGTGAATTGGCAGTGGGAAGTCTATGGGATTACAACCGAGATGAAAAATGCACAAAATGAAGAATGGTATAAAAATTAAATAAATAAAGGTTTATGTTTTCTTTTAAAGATTTATTTATTTATGCATACAGAACTGGGGTATAGGCCAGAGGTGCAGGGGCAGTGAGAAGATTCACCAGAGACAGAGTGGGGAGCAGAACAAGCAAATAGAGAAAGTACATTGCTGAGGGGAGCAGTGGGTGGGTCAGGAGAGGTCTGCCACGCCACGTGGGTCACCTCCGGGGTGGGTATCGAACTCGTGCTAAGGTGTCTTTAGCTTCTTACTGCTGTGCTTTAACCCGCTGCACCACCAGGGAGGGCCCAGTAAAGGTTTATGTTTTAAAGAAAGGGTGTCTTTATTATAAACAGTGCTTCTCACTTATTCTTGTTCAATCGCTTACTAGAAAAAAAAAAAGTAAAAGAAAATGTTCCATAGTGTCATAGTGTAAAGGGAGAAAAATCCTACAAATCAGAAAAAAATAACATGCATTCCCTTAGATCTTTATGTCCTGTTTTTGAAAAAATATCACAGGGAATTGCAGCTGCATTTGTTCATTGCTCTTAAATTGCATATATAGTGTAATAACTATATGTATAGCTCAAAGAAATATATATAGCTCAAAGAAAAATCACCCTTACCCTACTACTCAAAAATAAAATATTTTTATATGTTCTCTTCCAAATATTTTACAAAGTTCCTTTTGTGAAAAGTGAACATTCCATTTTGTTCTCTTGGAAGTCTTTAATTTTCCCATTTTACAATCATAAATGCCTGGCTCAGAGTAGGCATCTATTAAAAAACTTGCAAATATACCAGTTTTCTAAGTTTCTTCATAGTTCTTAGAATTAACATTTTATGGCTTAGCACTGTTTCATTCTATTACTTTTCAGTTTGACCATTATCTTTTCTTTTAAAGATTTATTTATTCATGTAGAACTGGGGTACAGGCCAGAGATGCGGAGGGTGAGAGGCTTCACCAGAGACAGAGTGGGGAGCAAAACAGGCAGATGGACGAAGTACACTGCTGAGGGGAGCAGCGGGCGGATCAGGAGAGGTCTGCCACGCCATGTGGTCACCTTTGGGGCAGGCGGGTATTGAACTCATGTGGAAGTGGCTTAAGCTTCTTTGTGCTGTGTTTTAACCTGCTGCGCCACCAGGGAGGGCCCTTGACCATTATCTTTTTATAGGAATTTTTATATATTTTTTGCAGCTTTCTGCTATTTGGTGTCATTGAATGAATACTTTATATAGAAAAACCTTCCTCTTCTAATTAATTGTTAGGATAAATTCCTCTGAGAAATATTAATGAATTACAGATCAAGGGTTTTGATGACCATTGATATATATTTTCCCAAAACATTTCTCCCAAAAGTTGTAACAGTTTATGAAATCATTGGCAACATATTGCATGTAAACATTCCTTCATAATCTTGCCAACATTTTCATTTTGCTTACAAGATAATACATTCAGGCCTCCTGGTGGCATAGGGGTTGAGTCTCAATACTATCACCTCTGCAGCCTAAGTCTGATCCCTGACCAGGGAGGTGACCCACAGATAATACAGCAGACCTCTCCTGTCTCACCTGCTGCTCCACTTAGCCATGTATTTCAGTATATCTGCCTGTCTCTGGTGAATTCTCTCACCTCCTGCACCTCTGGCCTGCACCCTAGTTCTTCTACACAAAAAAAGTAAAATGAAATATGCAAAAAAAAAGAAAAGGTTAATTCATATAGTAAAAGATTTTTTAACTACATCTAAAGCAAAAATAAAAAATCAATGATAATCCATCAGCTATTGTAGTTTTTAGTTTTCTCTAACTTGGTCAGGATGAAAGCTCTCCGAGGTCACCTGACTTGCTTCCACAATTTCCTGGTCCAACTAGACACAGCCACAGGGAACCTGTTCCAACTCCTTTCTCAGATGACAGGTGCCAAGAAAGTAGCATTGGGTCCTCTGCCTTCTGCAACATGTCTGACCGCTCTCCATGTGCCCGCCCCTCTCCACTGCTTCCCCACAGCCTCCCTCTGCCCTGGCTCCTGTATACCTTCATCCACAAACTCCAGCCTGTGAAGGTCAGCAGCAATGGCCTGTTCTGTGCCATCGTCCTCCTCTTCATCATGCTGCTCTTTGTCATCCTCTCCATCGCCCTCTGCAAATGGCGGATGAACAAAGTGCTGGGCTTCACCATGTTTGGCCTCTACTTGGTGTTCCTGGTGGTCAGTGTCCTCCTCGAAGACAGAGTTCTTGTGTGCCCTGTGTCCATCTAACAAAAGAGCCGGATCTTGAACCAATAGCATGGATGGCACCTCCCCACTCTGGGCTCCTGGCTCCTTGACCTCCTGAGAAGAGGCAGCTGGCACACAGCCCTGGGTATTTCGAGTGTCCCTCCTTGGCCGATTAGAGGAGGGATGGAGTCACGCTGGGTCCACTCATCTCACAGGCTGTGTCTGCCCTCGCCTGCTGAAACAGCTTCATGGAAGAGAACAAGAGAATTGTGCATTTGGGGCTTCTCTCCATTCACCACTGACAGGTACTCCTCGCTGGTCGGAGGTACATTTGTTGTAATACCGCAAACAGTGACAGAGGCTCCATATATACATATAAACTATATATATTATAAATAGATGCGCACGAACACATGCCTGCCTGTTCCTGTATTATACCTCTCTTTCCATGCCTATAGAGTAATATATACATGTATACAAACACAGAGAAAGAAAAATTATATATGTATATCTCTATATAAAGTCAGATATAAATATAACTACAAATGCATCTTTTCAGGGATAGTTCTAATATATTTCTAGTACTTATTTGAAAAGGGGCATCAACCCTTAGTCTGAGCTTTACCTCTCGAGTGTAAGAAGTCAACTAACAGAATCATGGAAGATGGATGTTACAGGGAAAAGGGTTGATGGGAGGGTTTGATGGAGAAGTCTGTAGGGGTCCTGAGTTGAGCCCTCCAAACATCCCCACAGGCCAAACAGCAAAGACTCTTTGCCCACCCCACTGGGGTACTAACTGGAACCCATAGGGTTACTTGGGGAAACAGCGGTAAAACCTAGATTGGGTGGCTATTGGTTTGAAGGCAGGGGGAGGTGACCAGGGTTGGGTTATTTTGGATTTTTATATATATATGTATTGCCCCAGCATGCAAGTAGAATATATGACTGCAAACCAAACTAGTGCTCTTCTAGGACAGCAAGACTATATAAAACAAACCTATCTTGCTCCAGTGCATGTCCCATCCTCATGAAATGAAGGGGCGGGGGTCCAGTTTAGCTGTGATTGCCACTTAGACATAATTTGATGCTCACATATCATCAGAATGTCTGCCAAGAAAGCCTGCATAGTGGTAAGGAAGACCATCTAGCACAAGGGCTCGGCAGGACTGTCACCTAATGAAGATGTTCGGGCATGCTTCTATCAAGCAGCTTCCAGTGCAGTGTGGTCAGAAAGGGCTTCATCCATCCTCCCAGAGAACTAGGTTGACTGCCAATGCTGCTTGGGTTGTGGCAGATTAGAGATGTTTTGCAAGGCATTGTGCACTCAGCACGCCTCACAAAGGCTTCAGAGGCCTGTGTCTACTGATTTCAGGCCCTGTGTTTGGTGAAAGCCCATGCAACCTCTGTGTCTTTCCTCCATCAGCACCCCATCTAGGACTCTCCCTAACTTGCAGAATGCACTCTAGGCCCCCACCTGACAGCTTCTTGACATTGATTTCAAGCCAGTCACCCCAAAGTTTTCATTGCCTGAGTTTGCTTAATATCCATGATATTGCCATGATTTTGCTTAATATCCACCTGTTTTCACTTCATTCATTCAGTACTCTCAATCTCAATGACGCCTTGCATGATTTCTTGGGTGAGTGTCAATAGAAAATAAAACCAGTGGGGATCATAAGCATAGAGGGAATAGCTCTGGGGTAGAGTATTTGACTACAAAGCATTAGCATAAGTATAAGAAAAAAAGCTTCCCATATCATGGTTTCTTGAGTAGGTCATCTCCAAGGCAAACTAAATTAAAGGAAAAAAGGGGGGAGTCATGTTTCCTAACAATCAGAGAAAAAGTAGATAGAGGATGGCCTGTTCTTCTGCATCTGTCCTATCTGTGAGGTGGGACACAGGAAATAGCAGCTATGTTCTTGCCTCCACCAATGCCTGCTGTGGTTTTGCTGAGCCCACAACTTTTAACCAAGGGAAATTACAAACATCACAACTGAATAAGGAGAAAAGGAGAACCCAATATTCTTTCCTCAAAACCTCAGCTCACTCCACAAAGCTGGCACTCATGGGCAGCACCCATCATCACCCTTCACTGACAAAGAGCACCTCTTTGTGGAGGACCCCTGGGAAAACGGGAAGTCGAGGTGGCTGCCACCCCAGTGCTCACTTTCAAGGCTCTCCAGCATTGGGTTTTCAGTCTCATTCACCCAAGACAGGATTTTTGTACTGAGGCTGAATTTGTGTTAGTTTCTTAAAATAAGTAAGTGAGTGAACTTTTCGTTTAAACGGTGGCTTTCTTGATGTGATCCTTGCAGCAAAGTTGATTATTGCGGGGATATATATTTCTGACTGGTTTGTTATTTGAAAGACCACTTAAGTAGGTGACTTTGACTCATTGCAAATAGACTATCTGAGACAAGAAAGGATGAGGGAGGCCCAAGGCTACCCTGTCTTTATTCCAGCACATCCTGATGCTCTCCTGTCTCTGCCCTTCTTCCCATACATTCCCAGCTCACAGTGAAGACTTGAGGGAAGCAGCCCAGGGAGGATTTTACTGGGCTGGGAGCTCCACTCCCTACAAAGTGTTGTGGTCAGTAAGGAAGAGTTGCATTTGGGAAGGCAGTATTTCCAAGCCCTGTTCGTACCCAATTCTAAGCAAGAACTGCCACAGCAGTGCTCTAGGCTGTCTGGAATTCAGGCCCTGCAGGAATATACCAGATGCTATAGAGGCACCTTCTCGCTGCCCCTGCTTGCCTTGCCTTTCCCTTGTTATGTGTTGGGAGGGAGTAAGGGAGTTTATGCATTGAGCTGGGGTAGTAAGTCCACAGAGAAGTGTACATGCAACAGTGGAACTTTAAATGTATTCAGATCATTAATGCAGGGGATATAGCTCTAGGGGAGAACATTTGACTGCAAATCATTAGTGTAATTATAAGAAAGAACTTTCCACATCATGGTTTCTTGAGCAGGTCATCTCATAGCTTTCCTACATGCCTGTGTACATACATGTACAAATGTAGTCTTTCTAGCAGATCTGGATGGGTACACACAATGTCACATTATTACCCTCTGACCAAACCACATTCAGAATTCAAAAGCAGTAAACATTAAGTTTGTCATCATGACATCAAAGAAAGTCACACCCACCAAAAACCCACCCCAAAAAAGGGAAATGTCTTCCTGATCCCATACAGGTTTGGACTATAGACATATATATACAAACATGCATGGATAGAGGTCCTCACCCAAGTATATGAAGATGACCAACCATCTCCCTGGGGCTGCTGGAGTGGCAGAATACAAAACAGAAAAGTGGAGTGGGGGCGGGTTGGGGTTAAACTGCAGATACTCCTTTGCTTTCCTGGAGCAGGGCATACAATAACATCAAATCTGCTCAAGCTCAGAGAAATGAGCTGCATCTGCTGTTTGGTATCCACAACATACCAAACAGGTCTTGCCTGCTGTTACTTTCCCATCACCTTAGGAGCCTCAGGACAGGTGATCACTTGACTCACACAGTGGATTCCCAAATAGAAGCTTCTAAATTGCATCTGAAGATACCCATACTATGTCCAGCTGGCCTCTGGGCCTGCCAAACTCCTGAAGAACGAAAGACTGAGATTAGAAGATGTTTATGCAGTTTTTCAAGACCAAAATGGAGCCAAGCAGTGAGGTGGGGAAAGCACAGTACATCAGCAGGGACTCAGAGGCTGCCTTGTTGAGCAGTTGAGCAGAGGCGGCAGAACACCCCACAGCCTCACCCAGATAGAGAGGCCAGGATGGTTTCCTATGCAGAGAAAATGCTTTGTAAGGCTTCTAACAGGTGTCACCTGACAGGGAGCATTAGAATTTATTTTCTAGGGAAGACATGAATCAGGTGGTTTGGAGCTCTTTCAGCAAAACACAGCTGAAAGCCTCACTGATGAGACACTTGATAATATTAACGTACATCTATTTCTGGGCAGGGAAAATTTGGCAAACTCCCCAACACGGCTCACAGATCTTAAACTCTACAGATGACAGGAGAGAGTTAGGAGATGATTCCAAAGGGAAGCCCCTCCCCACACACACATACCCCACCTCATTCCAGCCCCCACCCACCCCAACTCACCCCTAGCCCCCTGCCCTGTCCAGATCTCTAACAGAAAGCTGATTCAGGAAATGCCCACAGATGGAGCTACTGGCCAGACAGACAGAAGGTGGGACTGAGAAGATGGGACTTCTGTCAGGTGTTCTGCTAAAGTTATTGGGTTGGGATACTACCTGAGGTGGGTCAGATAACCTATCTGAATATAAGCACTTCAGGAATTTTCAGTATGCTCTCTTCCTTACATCTGCCAACAAAAACTCACTCAAGATTATGAGGCTGCCAAGTTTCCTTGCACCTGGACAGATTGTTACTCCAGTAATCAAATAACCGTATTGTGCGGCAGCTCTGTTCCAGGAGAAATAGAGGGGAAATATTACCAGCTTGATTTCTGGAGTACTCAACTGTCTCCTGAATGCTTATTATAGATGCTAATGCTCATTCTTGCTACATTAACTCTTACATAACTACCTGGCTTAATATTTTTAAAAGACACCTCCTCGACTCTCCTACCTCCCTCAATGACACTATGTTCAATTGGTAAGTAAAACTTTGTCATTAAGAGAGAGTTTGGGGGAAAATGAAAGAATCAGGAAAGGAGAAATTCATTTATTTGTACTGAGATTCCCAAGAAAGCGATGTTACCTTGAAATGTATCCCTGTGTGATTTAAAATAATTCTAACCATCAAGCTGTTTTTTTTTCATCAAGCTGTTTTAACCAATTACAAGAGCCTCTATACAGACCCAGATTATTTTTTTAAATCCCTTATTAAAAAGACCTTGGGAAAGAAAAAGAACATGTCCCTGCTCCTCTGTATATTTAAGCTCAGCTCCTTGCTCTTTATCTTTGTATTTTTTAATCTCACAGCTTCATAGTCTAAAATGTATAGCAAACAATAAAAGCAATAAAGGTCACACAGCTAGCTAAATTACATCATAATATTTTTTTGCTCCACTGGAAGCTTTGAAACTGCACAGGCTATGGCATGTAATCACCAGGAGAATTTAGACATCTGTCAAAAGCTAGACACAACTGTCTTTGCTGTGGAAGTAAAGACACTTTCCACATCCGCCTCCCACCAGTGTGCTCACTTCCCATTACACAGGCCCTCACTGTCCAGAGCAGGTTCAGCCTGGCCCCAAACCCACAGCACCCACAGTGGTCTGTAAACCGACTAGCGACACTTTTTTGAAAGAGCAAGAGAGAATTACTAAGCCCAAGTGAATCCACAAATTAGCCCAATTTTTAACACAAAAATGGCTCTATAGTTAGGGCTAGATAGAAATGATGTTCAAATTAGTGTTCAAAAAGTGGGAAATTGTGTGAAGTACCAAAGCACTTTGACTAAATTAGAAAATCTTTTCAGATTAGAAAATCTTAAGGAATGTAATAAAACATATAAATATCAAATCAGAAAGTGTGTGTGCCACGGCGTTTGCATGGAGCTTACCAAAGCTTTCATTCCCCTAAGAGTGTTTTTCCCGATTCCCCTCAAGACGACATTTGTAGGAAGGCATCCCAGCATAGATGTTCCTGGTGTGACCCAGTTCCTTTGACCCTTAACCTCAATAGCAGTGTCAGAAAACTGTCTCCTCCAGGTTCACTCACCCCTCAAGCTGATGATTTCACCTTTTTTTTTTTGTAGAAAAGAACTGACCTGGGGTCTCGTCCCTGTGTATCCTGGGCAAGGTTGGGAGTATCCCAATGTGACCCAGTATTTTCATCAAAGGGATTTTAGATTGTTCTGTTTTTTCTTCCTAATGCTCCAGACAATTTTTAGAGTTGTCTAGTAAACCTTTTTAAATGTTTTATGTTGCTCTTAAATGATGTCACTGTCTGACTAACTGTGACCCAGGAGAAGGCCTGCAAGAACTGAATGCCAGCCTTGAATCCAGTGCTTGGCTCTTGATACACGCCCCTCTGTGCCCTTATCTTTTCATTCATCTTATGTCCCTTTTGACACCTATGTCTTTCTTCTACGACATTTGGATGAAATCAGTGCATTTCTCAGCTTGCTATGGTGCATTTGCATAGCTGTCTTAACTACTATAAACCACTCTCCATGTGACCTTATAAAGTCTCAATCTGGTTATGTCCCACTCCATATGCAGTTTTCAAGTCCAGCTAGGTTCTTCAAGGTTCTTCCCACTAGCTGCTCCAGCTTTCTCACCCTTGCAAGTCTAATGAGCATTTTCACCTCCTTAAGATTTAAAATTGATAGGCCCCTCCCCCAACAACTTATATTTTGTATAATTGACTACTTCTTTGAGGGGAAGTTCCTTCTAGTTGGTACCAAAATGTGAACAGACCCCCAACCACAAGTATTTAGAACCTCAGAACTACCTAGAGTGTGTGTAGGCCTTGAATATAAGCACCATGGAAGGGCATTTAGCCTCTGATAAAAAGTCTGAACCCTGGCTGCATTTTCATAAGGTCCTGGTGAGGTGAGGAAGCCTATGAACTTCACTTTCAAGATTATCATTCCACAGTCACCAAGAACTCAGAATGGGGGAACACCAGAGTAGATCGTTCAGAAACTGGACGTGCACTTACCTGCTTGATTTACCTTTGAGAAATTCATATTTTCACTTTAAATAGGAAATAGGAAAAATGGCTAGAATTCCTCTATCACGATTATTGTTGTGCATTTTTACTAATTTGTGTGATAGGGTGGATAGGAATGATGAGATTGCTCACTGGTATCCTGGAAAACGGGCTACTGTTCACCCAGAGGATGGAAATTTGCTCCCACATTCTCACATAGAGGGTTGCATGTACCTTTCCAGTAGATCAGTAACTAAGGTCTACGGAATGCCAGTTCTCAACAGCATTCAGCTAACTAAAAGAGAAAGCTAAATCATGCTATACACAAAGAATGAATGGATGAAGTCTGAATTCATTAATCATTTTAAGGTTGCACAAATGAAGGATAGATAATTCCCTGCCATTTAATTAGGAGAATCTCCATTTCTTCTCATCAGGATAAAACTAAAGGACAATGGATGCCTTTTGGGTTTTTTAATTTTTTAATATTGCACTTTATAGTACTTCATAAGAGACAATTGTCTTAATTAAAGCCATAAAATATCAATAAGACATATATTCAGGGCTTCTGAATATACTCAACTAATCAACAGTCCATGAGTCATTCTGTTTAGTATTGTTTGTCGTAAATTAAAGTTGATCTGTTGTATTTTTTATTGCATACAATTGTTGTTCTAAACAATCCTGATCTACTGATAAATTTTAAATTTGTACTTTACTAAAGCTCTGAAAATCAAAAAAATTATTCATTTCACAAAAGCATTCTTTGTTTTCAAAGTAGCTTTTACATGATTCCTTTAAATAGCAATTCTGATGCCATGTTGAAAATACTTCCTTTTTTAAATTATAGATTTACTATTTTTCAGGAATCCATTTGTTATGTAAAGCAAGGTTGACCATGTGGAGAGTGAAGTGAATAATTGGCAACTGTGTACCTGGGAAACTTCAGGTTTGTTTGAGTTTTTAATATAAATGTGAGTCTAAGAAGCTCCCTTATAAAAATGGCATATAAAGATATGCAATTTATCAATAATTTCTTATTGCCTAAATTATAAGCCTTCCTTGAGAAGACATCTAAAACAGCAAACTTCATGATGCGTAGGGCTTTTTTCCCTTTCTGCTAAAATACACAATTTCCAACTTCATAAGGTAAATCATTTACACACATACCAATGTCACACAACTAAATTTCAACTCATCACAACTTTTCTATATAATTTGAGTGAAATAAAAAATAATGACTAGGGCCTCCCTCATGCCCTAGGGGTTGAGTCTCAGCGCTATCAACACTATGGCCTGCGTTCAATCCCCAGCCAGGGAGCTGACTCACATACAGCGCAGCAGACCTCGCCTGTCTCGACTGTTGCTCATCTCAGCAGTGTGTTTCAATAGATCCACCTATTCTGTTCCCCTCCCTGTCTGTAGTGAATCCTCTCACCCCTACATCTATGCAAAGGTAAATAAATAAAACCATTTTGAAAAAAACTGACTAAATCACACTTAATCATCTAGAAATACCTAACGCAACTGGATACTTAAATTATCAATATAAGTGCATATCAAACTGAGTAACCCGACAAGTTTTACCCTAAAGAAAGCAAGTCTGGACCCAGAGCCAGCAATGTCCTGTGGAAGCTGTCTGAAGAGTTTCTCCTAGGGGACAGAAACTCCATCCAGAAGAGGGAGCCTCTGTTGACTTTTTACCCTGGTGAGCTCCCTTTGCAAAGTCTGTGTACCCTGCTTCTAACCTAGATGTTTCTTCTACCCCAATCTGAAAAAACTCCAGAAGCAACAGCTTCCCTCTCCAACCAATCTGCTATCTCAAAGAGCTATCAAAAAAAGAACAGCAAAAGCTGCCTTGCAGGTCTAATGACATTACTGCCATCACTAAAAGAGAGATTATACTTTCGCTCTTTGCATGTTGCTGAAACAGAAAATGTTGTGAACATTGATCCCAAAGTAGCCATCCCTCTTGAACACAAACTATTTTTTGGACAGGTTGTGTTAAAAATATAGAATGCCATTTTTGTAAAGGATCTTTTTAGGGATCACTGTCCTCACTCACTCCCTTTGTTTACCTCCATTTTAAAGAAGCATTTTCGCCGTTACTTTTGACCCCTAAAAAAATCCCATTAATATTCTTCCAGATTATTTGTGTAATTTTGCGTGTATTTAATTATGAGCAATTTTCACTGAATGATGAGATGTATGGAGATTTTGATTAGTTGATTCTCTGTGAATGTGTTTGTAGATAGACTGAAAGCTCTATTTACTTGTACATAGGCTGTTTGGGTAATGTATTTCTGTCACATGGACTTCACTCTGAAAAAAGGCGTTTCTTTGCTGTGTTCATGTTACACTTTCTACACATTTGTGCTTCTATTACTGGTAATGCACTCATAGATGATCATTTTCTGTAACTAAGTCTCCTCGGTGTGAAAAATAATAGTAATAAAATTATTGACTCAAAGCAAGAGTTGTTTTGTTTTTGAAGTAATCTTACCTTCTGCTAGTCAGGACACTGAGGATTTCAAGAAATAGACACACAGACATGGGCGTTTCATTGCAAGAACTCAGAAACAAAAGACAAAGCTGGAGTTGCTATGAATTAAAACAATTTGAACTTCTAAATCTCTGGGCACCGAAATGACTACTCTTAACAATTGGATTTTAATTAATTAAACATATTGAAATTGTAAATCCAAAAATCTAGTGTTTCAAATAAGCCTTTAAGTTCAACTTGGAAATCTTGTTATAAATCTAACACATGAAAATAAGAATTTTAACTAAAAAATATATATATATATATGAATCTATGCACATAGACATAATAGATAAAATGCTATTTTCAAATGGTAAAAAAAAATAAGAATTTTAGTTACTTTGATTTTACTCTATTAACTGATAAATATAAAAGATTAAATTGTATACATTTAACTCAATTTATGAATGAACTTCCCTCAGGCACTTGCTAAATTTTACACATTGATCATACCTGGCTCTCATAAACACTTCAAAAGTCTGAAAGATTTATAAACCTTAAAAAAAAATCTCATTATGCTCTTAAGCAATTCCTATAAACCTAATCAAAATATAGTAAACTGGTCATCATAACATTTAGGTACTAATTATAAGCATAATGAAAGTGTACTACACTGCTAAAATTAACAAATTTAATATAAATTACACACATTTGAGTCATAAGCAGATTATCTATTATGCCAGATTTCTTTAAAACATCTTAAAAAATACAATTTCCTAATAATTATAAAATAGAGTCCTACACCACACCATAATGTTCATACTGTGATTTTAGTTTATTTTATTATTCCTCTATTTATGCAACATGTTCCTAAGCTTTGAAAAATCACCCAATTAATGAGCAGATCTGTCATCTCCAGGAGTCTTAAGACGGGTGAGCCTCAGTCAGAATATCACTGCTTGTCATTTAAAGATTCAGCTACAGAACAGGAGACGTGGCACCCACATACCTACCTACATGATTCTACTAGAGTCCCTTAGTAATTTTGTAGCACTCTGATTTTCAGTCTGTTTCTGTTTGGTGTTCAATGAGCGCCTCTTCTGCTCCAACCCCAAGTATATCAGCTGGAGTTTAATTTTAGAATTCAATGGGCATCACTACCATTATTATCTGGGAGGAAGGGAAGGGGGCAGATTTAACATACTTTTGTCTCCGTTTAAATAAGTGAATTCTGCAGTCCTACCTGGTTTACAGATAATTTTCCTACCCCTTCATTCTATTCAACTAATTTCTTCATTGCTTCTTTGCAAAATGAGCCCCACTTCTCAGGAACTCCTTTATATTTAGGAAAAAGATACAAGATATTTTGAGCCTACATGTAACACAATGATGCTTAATGCCAGGGTTTGCACCAATGGTATTTTCAATCCTTGCTTGAGAATGTAAACATTTTCATCAGAATAACATGAATGTTGATTTCATCAATACTTATTTTAGGGACAATCTCCATTAAGTTGATGAAAATCCTTGATCGGTTGCCTGTAATGAACAATTTATAACTTTTTTTTTATTAACATTTCATGGACATATTGCTTTCTGTGTAAATTTTTTAAGGAACTTAATTCATCAACAAAGTTTTGTTTTCCTTCCTATCAAAAATCTTAACAACCATAGTTGCTATTGGGAGTCATCTCCATTATTTTTACTGAGACCTATTTTTAATAGTACAATTTCACAGATCTAAGCTTCACCAAGAAAATTCTGTTTTCCATCAATTTTTCATCCACAACTCTATAACAGACTGTACACTTTGGAGGTTATGCATCTAAAGAAAAAGCTATAATACACCCTAGAATTGCTGTATTTTTCCAGAATGCCTTCATCTCTTCTAGAGGACTAGTTTTTAAATTTGGCCACAGTGAAGATTTATGGCAGTGAAAACACCTAATTTCCTACCACAGAGCAGACTCACTTCAAATCTTTTGTAATGCCATTTTCTAAGCTTGTCTTTGGGTATAGTCACAGTTTAACATTGTATAATATAAAAATCATCAAAGCTCCCTATTCAAACAACTAAAAAAAATCTATTGTGTATGTGTTTGATTGATGTATAAAATTGTTCAAGGAAAATATTTCACATCAAAAATTTTTATCAAGTTTTATCATAGTTTAGTTTAAAACTAAATTACAAAAGTCTCACAATTACGTAAACATCTTTATAAATGATGGTTTAAGAAAACACTCCCTAATTTTCATCAATTCTAAGTTACAGGGTGTGAGGTGATCCATTCTCAGTTACCAAGCATACAGAAATATTACTATAATGTGTGCTTGATATCATTTATGACACATTAACATATTGTAGTATATGTTTGCTCCCTCCTCCCAACAAGTTACATAGCCTAAAATTCAGAAAATCTCTTAAATGGGTTCCTTATTGAGATACCTGGACACTTTCTAAGCTTAAAAGTTACAGGAATCCTAACTGATTGTCTCAGCGCTCTAACAACAACATACGTGTCAGAAAATTCATCACCTCCTGGGATGTCACCACTCTTGATTCTTTGCATTGCTGCCGCACTAGAGGAAAGATAAATGATACTTTTGAGTTTTGCATGTTGTTAAAACAGGAAGTGTTGTCAACATTGACCCCTCCATGCTTATTTGCCTAGAACACATATTTTTGAAACAGGTTATGTTTAAAATACAGAGTGCCATTTTTGTGAAGGACCTTTCCAGAGATGCTCTCTCTCGCCCCCTTTGTGGGCCTCCTGTTAAAACAGCATTTACTCCCTATTTTTACTCCTATAAGAATCCAGAAGCTGCACCTCCAGATTATTTTTGTCATTTGTGTATGTTTTGTTTATCATGAGCAGGTTTCACTAGATGACAAGATGTATGGAGATTTTGTGTCAGTTGATTCTCTGTGAATATGTCTGTACATAGACTGAAAATCTGATTTATCCTGCATCAAGCAATGTACCAGGCAATCTGAGCATCTAAAAGCCTGGCCTGTTTAATTCCAACATGCCAAGACAATTCTGTTTGGTTCTAGGTGCTAGGTTCATGCAGAAAATGCACAGTTCTGAGGCTCACCAAAGTCCCAGGACCCCCACATCCTTTTGAGGCTTTACTGATCTGTGCCCACTAATACTAACCTTCTGCTTGGTTGAGCTTGCGTCTAGTTTCAACTCACACATTAGACACATTCTGTATATTTCTAGGAGACAGACCTAATACACTGCAAACCCAGAGTTAGCAGACACTAAGTTATACCACTCACGTTTCCCATTCCATGGCACAAAATAATCAATCACAGCACCATTTCCCACAAACTCTTTTCAGCCACTACCAATCAGCCCCTGTGGCATACAAGACAAAATCAGATTGTGATGTTCTAACCTAACCTATAAATGAGGAAAATGTGGGCTAAAGAGGCCGTGTTACTTTCTGAAGGTCACACTATCAAGAGGTAGAACCGGATATTAGAGTCTCATCTTGCTTTGTGTATAATCTTTGCTGGAATGGCTGAAACGCATCTGAGGTGCTATGTGTGTTGTTGTGAGCATTTTATGTCCCCAGGGTTGAGGTCATCACTCATAAACAAAAGTAGCCAGAAAATGGTGATAAGGCTTCTTATTTAAAAGACTCAAGTGAGGGGCCTCTCTGGTCCACAGGGTTAG